GACACCTCCTGCCGCGGTCGAGCTCGGGGCATTTACAAAGAATGAATTGGCAAGTAAACATGTTTCACGCTCTGACCATGACACATGGTCGTTAACGGACTCTTCTCTTTCGGTGCGATTTCCGAATGTAGGGACGGACGGCATTGGCATTGAGTGCTCCCAATATATTGAAACCCGAGCAAAATGCGTTCAGGAGGCCTTGGAAAATGCATTCGGGCAAGGGTTCAGAGGTTTCGGGAGCTCGATTTGGGTTTGGGGACTGGGGCTGGGAACACCAGCGAAGCTGAAATGGATGCGTTTTCCAAGCCTTGAGCAATGCAGCTCTACATTTGTTGATACGAGAGAAAAATGCATTTAGTGGGCCTCGTCGGTGGCTTCGAGAGCTCTCGTAACGCGTCGGGAATGGGGCCAGGGGCACTAGCAAAGCCGAAGCAATTTTGAATGCGTTTTCCTAGCCTTGAAAGATGCATGTTGGAGCCTTGGAAACCGAATTAAAGCATCTTCGGTGCGAATTTCGTGGTGTAGTTTAGCAGCGTTGGAGAATGCGTTTGGGGCTTGGTCGGAGGCCGCAGAAGCTCGATTTGAAACTTCAACTATGTGTTGCACGCCTTGAAAAACTAAGTTTTGGGTCCAGAAAACAAAGAAGTTGAGCTAAAACATCTTCAAGCGAAAGCTAAACGTGTGTAGCAGGCCTTGTGGAGCTTGCGAGCTATTTGCTAGGTTCACGAATACATGTGGAGCTAGGATGGCAGAAGAAGATATCGGACCTGCCACAAAATCATTCGCCCGCCCGGAACGAACCTGGAACCCACTTCCAACCTCGCCCCGAACCTCTGCCCAGAACCTGGCCCTCTCAGCTGCCTGCAACGTGCTGCCGTGGAACCTGCCGGGGTGGATCGGAACCTTGTTGGAACCCGCCCTGACACCGCCCTGCCCCAATTCTGTGTTACACACGTCCACACCGCGGCCGCGTGCCAGAGCCGCGTGCTCCGCATCCCGCCATGCGCGTTCGTTTTGTTTTGAGGAGAACCTGAAACAATCCACGGCAGACACAGCAAATCACTAAAACTAGAAAAGAGGAAGACAGCCTGCAGCAAATAGCAAAACATTGAAAAGCAGGAAACAACGGAAACAACACAAAATCTCGAAGAAGCCGAAAGCGCAACACACTCGAAACCTTGAACAAATAGAAAAACACGCAAAGCGCCGACAAGTTCGCAAATAGAGGAAATTGGAAAAAGACGGAGAAACAAAACAACACAAAAACTGCCGAACACGGTACGCGAAAGGCCCAAGTGTTGAACACTTTTCGAAATGTTGATGTTTCCAGGATTTTTCGCTGTTTTTCGAACTGTGATTCGGTTATCCTTCTACAACCACCGCTTGCCGCCTCCGCCCTCCTGCGGTTGTGTACTTTTGTGTTAGAGCCAGCCCTCCCAGTAAACCCGCCGCCGCAGCTGCAGGTCTGAAGGGTTAGGTCGTGGTCACAGCGGAACAGTCGGGGCAGGGGTGCGAGGACAAACATGACATGACAGTTGAGGGGGTTGTGGCTATTGCTGGCATGTGCGGCATGTGCATGCAATGTTTGGATGTCCATGGAGCAATTCTGCTTACTTGGGTTTGTGTTTGTTAGATTTGCTTTTCGGGTTTGCGTGTCATTCTCTGTCATCATCAGAAAATATCAAAACCATTGTGGTTTCTGGTGCTGCTCCTGCCGTCGTCTGTGGCCACTACGGTTCAGCTGTTGGTGCTGTTACGTGCCGTTGCTGGTGTTACTCTCCTGCTGCTGCTCCTCGGGCGGCTTGCTGATGCAGCTGGTGTTTCTCGTATCTTCTTCTGATTATTGTTGTTGTTCGCCCCCTTGGTTTCCCTGCATCGGTGTCCAGATTGTTTTCTTCCTGTGTGCACAAAGCCGTGGATGCCTGATTGATGCATTTCGCTTCCTAGTGTTCCAATTGTGACGGTTAGATATGCACCCACGAACACGAAGCACTTGGTAGTCAGATGCATGCAGGGCGACAGCCCCACGCGACATTAGTCTGTGCCTGTGCCGAGGTTTGCGGCGTTGGAGATCGACAATATGTGTCGGTGGCAGCCACGACCAATTTTGTTTGCTGCTTATGCCTGCCAGCATATTGTGGCAGGGTGAAGCGTATGCTGATTTCATGTCCGCAGGCTCTTTGCATGTAGTCACAGTCCCATGGTTCCTGTTAGATAGTTGTCTCCGGTGACAGTCTGCCAACGTGCCTTGGCAGCATTGCCACTAGGAATTTGGGGATCTTCAATGTCGTTATGAAAACAATGGCATTTGCAGCTGGAAAATCGGGGTGCAGCCGAGGCGCAGCTGGTTAGACGACCTCCCGCCAAAGGCGGCAGGAGTCTTCGCAAGTTGTTTCTAAGAGCTCTGCGAAAGCCAGCAGCTGTGCGACAGCAGCATCCTTCTTTGCCCAAGAGTTGTTGCCTTGCAAGGCACGTAGTGACATAGTGGTTCCTTACGATATGTAATGTATAATGATGTATATATATATATATATTATGTATATATATATATATATGTATATATATATATGTATATACACACATATGCGAATTTATTTGCCATGGCTGATTCCACCGGGAATCTCTCGGGTTCGGGTCGTTTGCGCCGGTGTGGGGCTCATCCACTCCTAGCACTATGCTCTGCTGGCACGAGCGTTCGTATTTCCTGCCGACAGGCCCGTGTGGGCTACCCCGCCAAAACCTTTGCAGTCTTTGGATGATCCGCTGTTGAGGGGCGAGGTGCACCAACGGTCCCCCCGAAGAAAATGTCGTGTGGGCATGAGATCAGCATGAGATTGAGAGGCTCTGATCTCACCGACGGTCGTGTCATCACATGCGCAGCTTCCAGGAGACTGCACCTGGCGTTGCATGATGATGTTTGTGCTTGCTTCGCGGGCATGAGTGCGTGAATTGATTTGGTTTCGAGGGCTTCCGAAGCAACCGAACTTTCCGAAGTCTGCTTCCGCCCGAAGCCCGGAACCGGTGCGTTCGATGAGCACGTAGCAAGCACTGCATATTTATTGATTGGGGTGTACCATCCAGGTGCCTGCTTTTCCAGCGGCCGAGAAAAAATCGCCGCTGCAGTTTGGCGCTTAACTTTCGTCGCAATGCCGAATCCTGCAGTTACAATTTGGAAGCGAGGCCGCTTGAGCATCGGCCGAGCACTTCGGCCGGTAGTGACGTTTCGGTGCCAAGTCGAGGCTGGACACACGCACAGTGAAGTTCACGAAACTCAAGCGTCAGGATGGGCTCGGCTCGTCCATCTTTGCTAGATATCTTTCTTGCTGCGGCTGTTTCAGCTGAGTTAGATGCGTAGTGAGAGTGTTACTGTTACATCACATGGATGCTGCGATGCCTCGCGTGCGCAGCTGTTGGATGTCGCATTGGTGCTTTCGCGACGTGTGATGCCGTCGCAGTTGACCAACTCCTTTACAGGTGGCCGGGTTGGAACATGACAGTCTTCTTGCACAAGCTGGGGTTACTGGAACCAACTTTGAAGCCCAGGCTGGACAGCGGCCAAACTCTGGATGCGCAGAATGCACAGTTCGCGTGGAAGCTTGGCTTGCAGCAACGGCGGCAACTTCCACGAGGCCGATCGGGTCGAAGTTGTGCGTCTTGCCGCCTCGGGGCTTTCCTTTTGATTTGCTTCTCGGTGCTTAGAGATGTCTCGGATAGGCGAAAGCTTGGCGTCGGCCATCCGAAACGGGAAGATTCCGAAGTGGGGGTGCCTTGGTTTGGTGCGATGGAAGACCAGTGGAGGTATAATATGGCGCCGCCAGAATGTCAAAGGAAACTGCATATACCGTGAGTGATTTGTGTGTTGAATCGAGGTTTCCGTCCTTCGGACGCTGCAGATTGGTCGACGAGGCTTGTTCACGAGGTGTTTACCGGCACCTGCGGTGCGGTGTTGCCCGACCAAGGAGGTATATAGCCTGGAGGACGACAGCATCGACGAGACGATAAGGGATGTCATTTTTGGCACCGTATCCGCGGCGCAGAACGCAGGTTTTCACGTTCAGGCACCCGGTGCCGAGCTGCATGTGGTAGCCGCATGCCCATGTTCTGCTTCTGACATTTGGTCCGTAAAGAGGTTAGCCGCTTCGATCTTTTTCACGGGCATTTCGTGCAGCGTCGAAATGGTGATGTTGCCTTGCTGCTTCATGCCTCAGAATACCCGGCGATGATTCTTGGAAGGCAGAAATATATTGCATGGCACACGCCCATGGAGGATTTTGTTCTCAAATCCGATTTTCCAGGTGTCCAGGTACCAGAAGTCTGTCACGGACTTTCTTTCTTCCCACTGGGTTGTCCACGGTCGTTCGGTGTCTTTAATTCTTGGAATGCCGTGCTGCTTTCCATTCACTGTGTACGAAAGGAATCCGGATTCTTTCCCGGTGCATCTTGGTTACTGCCAAGCCGAGTCGCCCCTGCAGAACCTTGGTGCAATCTGCATTGCATTTTGCAGACCTCATGCTTCGTTCTTGTCTTGAAACTCGCGTCTGCACGGCTTTAGGTACAGTTCTACGACAATGCAGTTCAGAAATATTGTGGTGTTGTTTTCTGACAATGTCCGGGCTTTCGTGCTGGATGCAGAAGCAGACTGCGTCAAGGCCATCCTGATTTTGCTGTTGGAAATCGGGGATCTAGGGTGATGGCATCATGGTGGAAATGGCTCAGGCCGTCATTCCAGAATACGCACGAAAGCCCGTGTATGTCCTGTACGAGGACTGTCGTGCAATCCTCGCAAGGATGGTGGACAAGCCCTGAGTCACGACAGGACATGTTGGGGCAACCGCTTGCTGATGTGTATTTCCTTTCAGATTACCCTTTGGGTTGGACACTTCGCAGCCCCAAACGGGCTTTGCGGAGGCAGCGGGCGAAGCTGTAAAGCTGTTGCGAGTGCTATCGAGTGCTTCAGCACAGGAGACCTCGGCCCAAAGAGGCTGTAAGACTTGAGCCACCTCGACATCTGCACACAAAAACATGAAACAGCCCAGACAGTTGCTTGTGCAACATGTGAAAGTCAAGAATCCGTGCCAAAAAGGCTCTATCAGATCTTCATGCGGCCCCCGCAGGTTCTGCACCCAGTGGCCCAGCATTTCATGCTTGTGCCGCAATATGTCTGCAATCTCGGTGCGTCTTTGCTTGCATTGACGTTTGGGGCGTCATGTATACAGTGTTGTAACTCGTACACTTGCAGGCCAAGTCAAGCGCAGGTTTTGAGGCCGAAAGATCCACGGGAGGAGAAGAGCAAGCGAAAGAGAAAAAGAGCAAGCAGGTGCAATGTTTGAGAAAACAAGATCTCAGACCAAAAGACTAGCGACCTAGGCTGCAGAGACATATGGGCTCAGCTCTGCCGAAGAATGTCGCCTGCACAGCCGAAAGAACGGAATGTAGTCTGCCAGGGCATTTGGGAGGAGGAAGAGGGAGACAGAGAGATGGAGATGGAGAGAGATCAGGTTTACACTTGTCGGAGCAAAGGGATGCATGTACGGCGACAGCACTGGACAGAAACGAACAGAAAGCGAGCACGAGACTCATGACGCTGGCTAAGCAGTTTGGAACGGCAATCACAGGGCAACCGATCATCTCGAGACAGCTCCAAGACTGAAAGCTGAAGCCGGCGTGAAGGAAGTGGGCACAGCCATTGGCGGAGTTCGCGGCTGCCTGAGAACAGGGAGTTCCTGAGCTATCTAAAACCTGTCGGTCACTGAGGATCGTACTCTGTCGAAAGACTTCCAGGGTCAGATCCAGTCGGAGCACCATGCCTACCCAGCCGTCGCATTTCCACATATCTGCAAATGAAACCCGTAAGATCGTGAATACTTAGAGCTTCATGGTTCAGGCTCAGCTCTTTAGATGATGAGCACGTCGTGACCCAAGCCACTGTTGAAATAGATATCCATTGGCAAAGAAACGGCAACGTGAGGCATCACTGACTCTTTCAGATGCACCGCCTTTGGATCAGGGCTTGCAGGCTGCTCAGAGCATCTCAGGGCGATGCAGGAGTTTCTGCGCGAGACTGTCTGTTCCGGTAAAACCCTGCTCAGGTCATACCCGGCTCGAAAAGAAAATTTTAAGAAAGAGCAGTTCTTTCTTCGGCCGGAGCCTTGGCCAAGGGCCCTGTCAACAAATTGAGCTTGATGTTCTTCGTTCGGCAAGGTTTGAATCTGTACAGCATGGCCGATCTGGCAGCAACAACCTCAGCAGTGTTTGCACGAACGAGGGAATGTGCTCTGAGAGACCGTGCCGTTTCATCTCGCCGGTGCTCTTGAAGTGCGAGGTGCTGGCGGCACCACCTCCGCCAACGATGGGAGTGAGGCTTTCGAGGTCTCCCACCTTCCTCCATGGCGGTGCGTGCAGCAGCAGCAACAGCAGTGTCTTGCATCAGGCAGAAGAGCTGGTTGACCAGGTCGGGCGTGCTGGGCGCTGGGTTGAAGTAGCCGAGTAGCGTGTTCGATGCAGGAGGTGTTCCTGAAAGATCTGGCCGATGTGGATCATCACATTCAGGAGAGGGGTGTTGGCATGTGTTGCCTGCATTCAAGCCTTCCAAGTGTTACACGTATCCAGTTTGCCCAAGGACCTTGCTCGCAGCATTTTGTTCCAACATCTCGAACGCGCAAGTCTTTTAGATGCAATGGGCAATGTACATGAACTCACACCACCGAAAGAGGCCTGCAGCAGACACTCTGTGTCACGGGGCTGAAGGTATGGAGGAGCGTGCCGCTGCCAAAGCCGAAGAGGTCGTGCATGTCGCACGCATTGCTCGGTTTTTTTTCGGGAAGACTTCTCGCGTCCTGCAGCTATTTGTAGGCACGCCGACGCCGAGAGGCAGAACTTCGCCGTGTCCGGTGCTCAAGTTGCAGCTTGACCAGTATGAGCCCAGAACAATACTTGGGCATCAGGCCCGGAAGAAGGAGCAGATGGCCAGGCAAACCTGCAGCTCTTGGAAAGACCTATCTCAATGTAGCTCGAAGCTGGTGGGGCCTTCGGGCTGATCGAGAGAGCCTAATCGCTTCGTGATCTAGCAGCTAGCAAAACGCGAAACATGCAAGCTATCCAAGGCTATCTTGCAGAGTCTGCCAGGCTGAAATGACGACCACTGATATTCCGTTATGTGCTACTTACCGTCCAACATTGTCAACTTTCCGCCTTAGGCTCCTTTGCGTCAGGTCGGCATCAAGCATGGCTTGAATCTAAGTCTAGTGTTGGGTTTGTTGGTGTTTAAGTCTTGCAGCCATGTCTGTTTGGGCCAAAAGCTCTGTGTACCAAGAGTTCGCCACATCCTTGTGTCGAAGCCCGAAGGATTCCCCAGCTTGAAGAGCCACCGAAGATTCTAGACGCTTGGTAGACTCCACATGCGGTTACCAGTGCTACTTGCTGTTGCCTGCTTGTCATGCCAGGGACCCGAAACGAAAGGTGGCATTGAAAATCGAAAACAAAAGGAGATTTTCCGGACATGAGGACGGACGCACGTCTCCCATGCCAAGTTGCGAACACTGTGAATTGCAGGAGGATGAGCCGGATGCCACGAAAGGAAAAGATACTATTCCTTTGAGAAAGTACGAGGCCGGGAGCATAAGTTTCAGCTGATATCTAGTGATTTCTTTCCAGAGCGAGCCGGAGCTCCAGGTGTACGGCGAAAGTGGCCCAGAGAAAGTGAACATAGTTGACATTTTGCGCTTCGGTGGCCCGTAGTTTTTGTACAGTTACGCAGTCTGCTTGTGGTTCAGTTGAGGAAAATCCAGAGCCAGTGTGAAATGCTGAACGAGAGCGGCGGTGCCGGTATCTTAGCACTAAAGACGACGTGTGTCGCACAAGTGCGCAATGTGCCGAAGCAGCCGAACCTGGCACGAGTTCTGCGTATGCCCGGGGTTTGCTCTGCAGCAATCTTTGCATGGGGTGCCCACTAAGCACTAAGGTTGACCGCATGCGAGGTGCTGAGATATTCACGAGCGAAGCCTTCGAAACTGCCGAAGCATGACTGGTGATGAACTGAGTTGGTGTGTCGAGGCTGGATGCGAGGCACCACAGTGAGAAGCTGCGGAGAGCCTTGACCTTCACGGATCCGGGTGACAGGAATTCTGAGACTTCGCTGTTCCCTGCCAGCAACACTAGAAGCAAACCGCAGATGGAGTTCTGGTGGTGTCATCGGCATTATCCCAGGTTTCCAAGCGATATCTCACCAGACCTTCCCAGAGACGAGCGAGCCAAGCAGCTGCGCAAGGCCTGTGCAGACACTCTCTGGCAGTAAGGGGGCAAACATGCTCGAACATGTGGATGGTTCTTTGCCGCAGCACTTCCACGCTCGTGTAGCAGACAAGAACCCAAGAAACCGTCTGTGCCCGTCATGTTTCGGCGCACAGCAAGACTCCAAAGCAGGCTTGTGCGAGGCGTGTCGTCAGTGGGTGCTGGCAAACTGTCCGTTCTATGCTTCTTGGGTACCACTCGCACTGAAGGCCCACCATTCCCAACGCGTTTGGGCAGCAGAGTGGCGGCGTACTGTTCGTCATTGCTGAAGAAGCAGGGACATGCCGTGGAGGTTGTAGATCCACTTGAGCTGGATTTGCCTCTGCTTAGAAAGCCAGAGTTTGCCTACAGGCACGGGGAGCAGCCAAGAGTCTTGTCGGAGCTGGCAGATGCAATTCGTTCAGCAGACGCCTTCGTCATGATCTCTCCTGAATACAATCACACGGCTTCACCGGCTCTGCTTAACACATTGAACCATTTTGGAAGTAGCATCTTCCAAGCCGTCTGCAATTTGCACATACAGTCAAGGGCAATGGGGAGGTGCACGTGCTGCAGTGTCCCTGCGGCCCATACTGTCAGAGTTGGGATGCTTGCCTGTGTCTGCGATGATCCATGTCCCGGCCGCTCACACCGTCTTCAATGAAGATGGCAGTCTGACCAGTGAGGAATCCAATTGGGAGCACTACTTCATGCGCACTTTCAGCCAGATGGAGTGGTGGGCAAGTGCGTCAAAGAACCACAAGCTCCTACGAGATCCGTTCAGCTTGTCGCCAGCTCTTAGCAGGCAACCTGCGCAGCGCAATGCTCCTAAGTGAGACGGTTTCCAGCCACCAACTCTGAGCAATGTGATTTCACGATGCAAGAAAGAGGCCGTGGCGTGTTTCGTGCTGGAGGGCGGCATGCTTGCTTTGACCAGGTGCAAGGTCTTCAGCTTGTCTGGCTTTCCCAAATGTTTGTCGCCGCCGTAGAAAAATGCAAGAATTGACGGTCCTGACTTCTCACATCCCAAAATCTTCTGAACCCTCGCGCACAAATATCGGGTGATTGAGTTAGCAGAACCCTTGCCCATTTTGGGTAATAATACCACCAGTCAACCTTGACATCTACAGTTATGCAGATGGTATAGAAAGGGTAGAAATTTTGATAAGCAGCTCGATATGAGTTTCACTGGCTATGACACCAAAAGCGGGTCTTTAATCACGTTTAAAACCAAAGGAGCAAGCAGAAATTTTGTATCAGGAATTGAGAGAGTTTTGGTTATTATGATATCAGAGCATATTTTTGAGCTCTCGGAAAGTGCTTCAACCGTTTTAGACTAGATTCTGAATAATCAAAAACTCATAAAACTCATTATTACATCGATTAGAATCTAAATCAGTTTAATAATGGCTTCATTAATTCATGTCAGTAATATGTGAACACTTCAAACGCAAAAGTAAGTGTTTTGAATGGAACAAGTATTTCAGACTTATATGCGATTATACACTATGTTAATACAAACAGCGGAGGTATGTCTCAACATGATGTGGATGATGGTTTAGCTCCTTTGATTTGAAAAGATTTAGCATACAATAACACAGTAACTTTACACACATCCTGAATAGACACAAATACAACAAATATAGCTACACATACAAATGATATATCAGTCTTGAATACAGAGCATCAATGACATAAATACTAATTCAACTATAACAATCATCAAACTAATTCCCAGTCGGCCGCAAATTTGTATAATTAAACCGAATTAGATACAACTTTACATTGCGGTCGCCTCGCTCCGAAGACCGAAGACACATCTTGAAGACACAGAGGGCCGCCTTCTCAGGCTGCCTAGAACGGCATGCGAAGACACATGGGCGTCAGCAGACACATACCAGCCGAAGACAGCAGGCGTCAGAAGACACATTCCGAATGAAGACACGTGGCGTCGCGAAGACATGTGGGGAAGCGCAGACACGTCCTGAAGACACGCCCTTCGAAGACACGCCCGGCGAAGACACTTCGTGTCGCCAAGACACGTGGGCAAGCTCAGACACTTCCTGAAAACACGCCCGGCGCAGACACCACGTGGCGTCGTGACGACACGTGGTGTCGCGACGCCATGTGGCATCATGACGCCACCTGGCGTCGATCCGCACCCCATCAGGCCATGCAAGGCCCTTTTCTCGGAGTCCAAGATCGATAAGCAGGGGCGCCCTATCAGTCCAAGGTCTTTTCCTCGGAGTTCACGACTTACAAGAGATTTGAAATAAGGGCCGCCCCGTCAGTTCAAGACCCCACTCTCAAAGTTCAAGATCTATAAGAGGTCGGATTTTAAAAGCAGGGGGAGCCCTGTCAGTCCAAGGCCCCGCCCTCGAAGTTCGAGATCTATAAGAGTCGTTCAGATGTTAGAAGCAGGGGCGCCCTATTATCAGTCCAAGGGCCCACCCTCGGAGATCACAGTCTATGCGAGTTCTGCTGAAAAAATCAGGGGTACCCCATCAGTTAAAAGCAGGCGTCATCAGTCCAAGGCCCCACCTTCGGAGCTCACAATCCATACGAGTTCGGATTGAGAAATCAGGGGGCGTCTCATCAGTCCCAGGCCCTTTCCTTGGGAGTCAAGGCCTATAAGAGTTCTGATTTACTTCAACATCTGTAGGAGTTCTGATTTAATTTTTGAAAATCAGGGGCGCCCCATCAGTCCAAGGCCCGTGTCTCGGAGTTCGGGATCTATAAGAGTTCTGATTTAAAAGCCAGAGGTGCCCCATCAGTCCAAGGCCCTTTTCTCGGATTTGACAATCTATAAGAGTTCGGATTGAAACAAAAGGGGCGCCCCATCAGTCCAAAGCCTTTTTCTCGGAGTTCAAGAAGCATACGAGATCGGATTAAAAAAAGCAGGAGCGCCCTGATAATGACAATGGGGAAGTAGTTGTGTAGTTGGTGAGATGTAGGGGGGGGAGTATAAGAATAATTTTCAAATGGGTTGACTGCTGGTAAATACAGTGACGGCGTTGGATAAGAAACTATTGCCCTGAATTTCTTATTTAGATAGCGCTCGGTTCAGGGTCATAAGAGATAACCGCCGGGTTTAGGGTACCCTCAATTTCTTATCTTGTTCATGTCGGATGCCATCCAGGGCTCAAAAAGGACGAAGAGCCCGGAGCGGT